ATACCACACCTAGGCAACCACCACCCTCCATACATACCACACCTAGGCAACCACCACACTCCCACACATACCACACCTAGGCAACCACCACCCCCATACATACCACACCTAGGCATCCACCACACTCCCACACATACACACCTAGGCAACCACCACACCCCCACACATACCACACCTAGGCAACCACCACACCCCCACACATACCACACCTAGGCAACCACCACACTCCCACACATACCACACCTAGGCAACCACCACACCCCCACACACACCACATCCTTACACCCACTATACAGAAACACTTAACTCCCTCTGACTCGTACCACACCCTTACACTCACCACACTCTCACACCTACTACATCCTTACTCACTGCTCCCTCACTCCCACTGTAACCTTACAGTAACCACACCCTCATTTCAACCCTATACTGACTCATGTTTACACTCACCACACCCTGACTCACACTTACACTCACCCACACCCTGACTCTCACTTACTCACCACACCCTGACTCACACTTACTCACCACACCCTTACTCACACTCACCTCACATGACTCACACTCACCACACACCCTGACTCACACACTCACCACACCCTGACTCACACTCACCACACCCTGTCATCACGCACTCACCACACCCTGACTCTCACTCACCACAACCCTGTCTCACACACTCACCCCACCTGACACACTCACCACACCCTGACTCACACACTCACCACACCCTGACTCACACACTCACACCCTGATTCACACACTCACCACAACCCTGACTCCCACTCACCACACCCTCACACTCACCACACCCTGACTCACACTCACCACACCCTGACTCTCACTCACCGCACCCTGACTCCCTCACCGCACCCTGACTCACTCACCACAACCCTGACTCACTCACCACACCCTGACTCACACACTCACCACACCCTGACTCACTCACCACACCCTGACTCTCACTCACCGCACCCTGACTCCCTCACCACACCCTGACTCACTCACCACACCCTGACTCACACACTCACCACACCCTGACTCACACACTCACCACACCCTCACACATCCTGCAAAATTCACCATTCACTCGCCACTGTTCGTCAAGTTTAAATTACCTATGACCTAACACGACCTCTGGTGAAAATATTATATGACGGGCAGAAATTGACCTCTTCTGCCCCCCAACCTGCCCCTTCCTTTTTATATTCTAAGTGTGGGCGAGGGGGGATGCGGTAACCCATGCTTATACCAACCGTTCTGATTTGTACGTTTCTTAATTCTGTCTGAGTACCTCCTTGCCAGACGTATCGTGGCTGTTTTTTTTTTTTTAAATTTCATTATGATTAAATATTCGATTTTCTTTAAGATATACCTAATACATTCAAACCTAACCAAATCTAATCTAACCTAATATTCCTTAATATAAAGAGACTAGATATAACTACACATAGCATAACCTCTTCTGCCCTAACTTAAACAAACCTAACTTAATAGAATCTAGTAAACCTGACCAACAGTTGTATTTGAGAGTGAGACAATGACTTTGAACATTGCAGCAAGGAAGAGGCTGAAGTAGAGATGTCATGCTCGACAGCTGTGTGTGGTGTGAAGATTATACAAGAGACCTGGAAGAAAGTGTGGATCTGCATAATTCAGAGGTCTGAAAACTGACTGAGGTAGTTTGGGAATTTAGAGAGGATGGAGCAGAAGAGGGTGTCCAAGAGTGTGTATGATACAGGATGCATGGAAGGGCAGGTATGGGTCTTCTCAGGAATGGTTGGTGAAAGTCGACGAAGGTAATTTTAAGTGGGAGAGACATGATCATTCAGTAGGTATTAGTGTGAGCATGTTGGGTCGTGGTCAGTGGGGATAAGTGGGTTCTAGAGGTGAGATGAGAGTGTTTTCATGCTGAAGAATGAGTGGATAAACCATTTTTGTATAGGTTCTAATGGAAACAAGCCAACACTAATGTAAACTTTAATAGTCAAGGAGGTAGGAAGTACAGTGACTGCATTCTTAAGGAAGGATGAAAGTGTTTCAGTCGTGCATATGGTAAGTACAGTACTTGCACTCTGAAGGATGGGCGGCGATGTTACAATACTGGAGATGTAAAGTAAAAGGACACAAGTGCAACTAATGTGACATTTATTGTGGCAACGTTTCGCTCTCCAGGAGCTTTATCAAGCCATTACAAACAATACATGGACACAGAGGGTATATAAAGGCTCTGAGTGAGGTGCAATACTACGCACCTTAACCGACTACGAGAAACAAGCACTGAGTCTGGGACTCAAATTTACCACCAACATACGCAAACCTAACTATCAACTCAATCTTGTTACCAGGAACCATAGACACAGTGACAGCAACTTCCAGAAGGGTTATACAGGGCCTTCTCACTGCAGCTTTATGTGAACCTTCTTCTTCTAATCTTCCTAGAAGATACATCACTGCCCTTAAGGACCTCGCCAACGACCCCAACATTATCGTCACCACCGCCGACAAAGGAGGTGGAGTCGTCATACTCAACACCAGTGACTACAACACTAAAATGATGGACCTTTTGAATGATCAATCTACATACGAACCCATCAGCACTCAACAGTGGGAGACGCTCACCAAAGACTTTCTATACAAAACCAGACAAATACTCAAACGCACTAGAGAAGGGAAGAAACTTCTGTACTTGTTACCAAGCAACCCTAAACCAGCACACATGTATGGTTTACCCAAGACCCATAAACACAATATTCCTCTCAGACCAATCACGTCAGGAATAGGCAGTGCTCCACACAAACTAGCCGGAGTTCTTGCCAAACATCTTTCCTGCCTTCTGGGGACCATCAACCCCGCTCATCTTAAACACTCAGGCGACCTTCTCAACCGCATCCGTAACCTCTCCATCCGTAACAAGAAACTTAGCAGTTTGGATGTGACTTCCCTCTTCACAAAAGTACCTACCAAAAAAAAAAAAAAAAAAAAAAAAAAAAAAAAAAAAAAAAAAGCCATCGAGGTTCTACGACGTAAAGTCAACCAGGACCTTAATCTTCCTTTACCTCCCGGAGATTTCGTTGACTTGATTGAACTCTGTGTTAATTTCAACTGTTTTTCTTTCAATAACAAGCTCTACAAACAAACCTACGGCATGGGAATGGGATCCCCAATAAGTGCCGTCCTAGCCAACTTATACATGGAACACCTAGAGTCCGAACACTTCACCAACATCATCCCTTCAAGCGTCACTTGGTTACGTTACGTGGACGATGTCCTCGTAATAACTCCAAAACGTTTTGATGTACAGGACCTTCAGGCAAGGCTCAACGCAGTTGAACCAGCGATTCAGTTTACACTAGAAGAAGAGTCCAATGACAAGCTACCTTTCCTCGACGTCCTCATTCACAAAGTAGACAACAACCTAAGATTTCAAGTTTATCGGAAACCCACCAATAAAAATGATCTCACACACTTCTATTCAAGTCAAGACACCAAGACCAAAAGAGGCATCATCATCGGGTTTTTCCTAAGAGCATACCGAATTTGTAGTCCTGAGTTTCTTGACGAGGAATGCACTTACATTCACCAAACATTCACTGAGTTACAATTTCCTTCTTTTTTCATCAAAGACTGCAAGAAAAGAGCTCTTCAGATCATCAATTCTCCACGCATCAACACCGCTCCCAACAAAGTTATAATTCTTCCCAACAGCCAGGTTGCACTAAACGTCTCAAAAGTACTTTCACAAGCTAACACCAGAGTCGCCATCGCTTCTACCACTTCAATAAAGGATCTAACCAGGAAACAAAACCCAAGCACCACGAACCAGTCAATGCAGGAGTTTACACTATACCCTGTGGAGGCTGTGACAAGATCTACGTAGGTGAAACAGCAAGAAACCTCGACACCCGCCTCAATGAACACATTTACGCATGTAGGAACGACAACTTAAACAACGCCTGTGTACAACACCGAAACTCCACCAATCATCTCATGAAATTCAGAGACGCCCAATTAGTGATCAAAGAAACTAATTTCCGCAGACGCAAGTGCCTTGAATCAGCACTGATCGCTGTTTCGAATACAATTAAACAAAACAACGGCAGCTTCACCATCTCCGAAGTCTTAGCAAGAATCCTCCTGAAAACAGTAAACCCTGCCATCACATAGTCTCTCCTGTTATACTACACAAGCACATTACAGAGAGTGAACACTAAAAAAACCTGCCTCTTTCCAGTCTATATTTGTCCAACCTTTTTTTATGTTACCCAAGTAATAGCTTCTATATCCTTTTACTCATGTACGAATTAATTGCTCTTCCTTATTGTATTATTTTTGTTACTACTACTACTACTACCACTAGTGAACATCGAAATGTTACCTCACTAGTATTGCACCTCACTCAGAGCCTTTATATACCCTCTGTGTCCATGTATTGTTTGTAATGGCTTGATAAAGCTCCTGGAGAGCGAAACGTTGCCACAATAAATGTCACATTAGTTGCACTTGTGTCCTTTTACTTTACATATTGTCGGTAATTCTACCAACTTTATTACAATACTGGAGATGGGAAGCATAAGTCCTGCACTCTGAAGGATGGTGGGTAGAGATACTGTGGTTCTGAAGGTGAGAACGAGAGCGCAAGTTGAAAGATAAATGGATATGCTGCCGTCCTGGACGTAGGCAGCACAGATGTTGCTGTAGTTTGTGCTACTAGGTCAGTTGCCGTGTTCCTTCCTTAAGTGAATGTGACCTGGCCTGACTAGGTTGGGGCATTGACTTAAGCCGGTAGGAGACTTGGACCTGTCTCGCATGGGCCAGTAGGCCTGCTGCAGTGTTCCTTCTTTCTTATGTTCTTAAGTACAGTACCTACACTCTCAGAGATTACCCTAAACAATAGAGAAACCTACTTACATCCTTTAGGAACAGCATCTGTTAAATCATTTCCACTCTTTACCTAATAATGTCTTGTACCTACGTTTAAGGGTCCTAAACATACTCACCTACAACCTGTAAGAAGCCGGTCTGGCTTATCATAGGAGCTGTGTTGACTTGACACATGTAGTGACCTCGATCTTCCTCCAAGACTCCATTAACATGCAAAGTCCAAGTCTTGTGTGAGTCGTGGGTGACGGAGAATCGTGGTTGACGGGTGATGACGTGGTTGTGGATTGAAACGATCATCTTCCTGTCCAAGTGAATCCATGCCACCTGTTGGCGGAAAGAAGAATTTGAAGTTAACGTCAGCAGCTCAACACACAAACTAAAAAATAATGTCATGTATTGGTGACAGGAAGACGACATCAAGGTCACATGGTGACAAGAAAACAGGATAACTGCAACGCCATCTGTTAATGAAAATGTAAGTGTGGGATAGCGCAATCTTTTGACAGAACAAAGAATATAGTCGCCGCCATCAATGAATGGAAATAAAAAAAGGCACAATACCGTGACTGGAACGATGCACAAATAACCCGCACATAGAAGAGAGGAGCTTACGACGACGTTTAGGTTCGACTTGGACCATTTACAAAGTCACCACTACTACTACTACCACCACCACTACCTCTTCCTGCCTATATATATAGCCGTCCTGCTCCACTTCTGGTTAGTGTGACTTTGTAAATGGTCCAAGTCGAACCGAAACGTCGTCTTAAGCTTCTCTCCTATGTGCGGGTTATTTGTGTAATGAATGAAAATTTAAAGAACGCCATCTGTTGACAGAAAGAAGAAAGTTAAGATCAACACCAACTTTTAAGGGAATAGATTACAATGAACGGTATAAACCACGGTAAGGGTTTAAATACCCCAGTCCAGAGATGATACTGTTCTCTAAGCCCAGTGTAATCTAAGCGAAAATCTAGGACTGTTACTGAGTCCTGTTGCAAACCTTTGTACTTCCTCTAGTTTCATTATGTGCTTAGCTAGGTGTGGGTTCCAAACTGGTGCTGCATACTCTAATATGGGCCTGACATACACAGTGTACAGGGTCCTGAACGATTCCTTATTAGGATGTCGAAATACTGTTCTTAGGTTTGCTAGGCGCCCATGTGCTGCAGCAGTTATTTGGTTGATGTGCGCCTCAGAAGTGCCTGGTGTTATACTCACCCCAAGATCCTTTTCCTTGATTAAGGTTTGTAGTCTCTGGCCCCTAGACTTTACTCCGTTTGAGGTATTCTTTGCCCTTCCCCAATCTTCATAACTTTGCACTTGGTGGGGTTGAACTCCAGGAGCCAGTTGCTGGACCAGGCCTGTAGCCCGTCCAGATCCCTTTTAGTTCTTCCTGGTCATCATCCGATTGGATTCTTCTCATCAACTTCACATCACCTGCAAACAGGGACACTTCTGGGTCTATTCCTTCCGTCATGTTCGCAAATACCAGAAACAGCACCGGTCCTAGGATTGACCTCAGTGGAACTCCGCTCGTCACAGGCGCCCACTCGTACACCTCGCCAGGTACCTTGACTCGCTGGTGTCTTCCTGGCAGGTATTCCCTGATCCATTGTTATCCCTGCCCGGTCCTCCATCTTTTGCACTAATCTCTTGTGTGGAACTGTGTCTAACGCCTTCTTACTTTCCAACAAGATTCAGTCTACCTACCTCATTCTATCCCGTCTTACTGTTGTCACCCTGTCATAGAACTTCAATAGGTTTGTGACCCAGGACTTCCCGACCCTGAAACCGTGCTGGTTGTCGTTGATAAGCTCATTCCTTTCTAGGTGCTTCACCAATCTTCTCCTGACAATTTTCTTCATGACTTTGAATACTGTACATGTCAGTGACATTGGTGTGTAGTTTAATGCTTCGTGTCTGTCTCTTTTTTTTTTTTAAACTGGGATTACATTTATCTTCCATACTTCAGGTAGTCGCTCTGTATCGATAGATGTGTTGAAGATTGTTGTTAATGGTACACAAAGCACCTCTGCTTCCTCTCTCAGGACCCATGGAGAGCTGTTATCCGGCCCCATCGCCTTTGAGGTATCTTACTCGCTTAGCAGCCCCTTCACTTCTTCCCCTCTTCAAGGGGGGCTCCTTGGCGTGGTGAAGAGGCTCTTGGTCTGAGGAATTAGCCCTGTCGGTCTTCTTCCTCAGACCGAACCCAATTACCCCCCATCCTCCCCTCCCCTATCCCATCCTCTCCATCCTCCCCTTTTTCCATTCCTCCTCCTCCTCCCCACCCCTCCCTTTTGTCCTTCCTCTTTTTGGCCTTTGGGATTTCTCCCACAGGCATGCTAGTTCCTAGGTAGGGGAAAGGACACCAGGGTCCATCCCATTCCATTGAGGTTCTTGGCGGTGGCGTAGTTTGCCGTGGAATCTGGATCGCCTGGGGATGTCCCGATCCCTCTCCGGTATCCCGGAGTATCTTTGGGTGTCTTTCGGGCGACGGGTGTATCAATTGGAACCCCACCTTTCGGATTCGGGGTGGTGGCCGAAGGGGTATGCTTTGTGGCGGATATCCGGCCGCCCTCTCTTTTGTCCACCGAGGTAGCTCGGCAGATGTGAGGTTGCTATCCCGGATTGCTGGTTTACTGGCATGAAGGGTAGGGTATGGCACGGGTTCCATGCTGCATCTGCGCTACTAGTGGTGCTGAGGTCCTCTTGGGCGTGGGGGAGATTTTTTATTCCTCCTGGGAACTAATTTCCCCCTCGCTCCCCCCCCTTTTTTATTCTTTTTTTTTATTTTTATTTTCTTTTCTTCTTTCTTTTTTTTTCTTAAAAACAAAAGCAAAGGGGGTAACCTAACCAGGAGAAACCCAATCCATGAACCCACTACCCCCCCGGGCCCCTTTTTGATACCGCACCCCATTCTGACCCTGCCTTGTGTTTAGACCCCTTTCGGACACTCCTGAGCCCCTGTACCTCTTTGCTGGGGGCTGTTTCCTCACCCGCTTCAGGTACCGGGGCTTCGACTGACTCCTTCGATTTTGGGCTGAACTCCGCTCTCCTTTGACCATGCTTCCGGCCTTCTCCCTCTACGGGACGGCAATTTTCGAATCGCCCGCCCATTTCACGCCGGACCAACTCTGGTCCTACTCCTAAACGCCAACGTCAATCTCCTGATGATGCTCCTTCGTTACCTTCCCATTCTACTCGGAAAAGACCGACACGTCAAGCACTCCCTCTCCACGCTCAGTTTCGGACCACACAATGGACTAAATTCTTTACTTTAAGACCGACTTCTTCTTCTGCCTACCTTTCTGACCATAGTATTGGCAAAGTGCTCCTGCGTCATGTTGGTAGAGATATTTCATTTCATGCTCTCAAGAGCGGTACGCGCATCATCACTGTCCAGAATGCTACCCATGCTCATGATCTTTCTCTCCTTTCGAATATCGATACTACTCCTATCACTATTAAAAAACATCTTTCTCTCAATTCTTGTAGTGGTACTGTCATTCTGCCCCATACCATAGTCCAACAGAATTTCCAGTCATGTGGCAATGACATTCTTGAACAGCTGGAACTCCAGGATCTCCCAATCCTCAAAGTAGACACTTATGTCCTTCCTGCCCGGGGGCGGAGACGTTACCCTTGCAATGTGGCTCGTTTAACTTTTGACAGCCGAGAACTCCCGTCCTCTGTATATGTCGCGGGACATCGGTTACAAGTTCGAAAGGTGATACCTACACCGCAACAATGTAGAAATTGCTGGCGTTTTGGTCACCCAGCGAAATATTGCAGATCTATGGCCGAATGCCCAGTCTGTGGTGCCGACGACCTTTCTCATACATCTTGCAGTCAACCTCCATCTTGCCTTAATTGTAATGAAGCTCACCCTTCGTACTCCCGCCATTGCCAGGTCTACTTAAATGAACGTGAAATCCATTGCCTCAAAGAGGCAGAAGGTCTCCCTTACGCTATGGCAGTTACTCATCTCCACCTCCAAGGGAGACTACCCCGTGTTTCTTATTCTCGTGTTTCCAAACATCCCCCCACTTCTGGGGTCCCATCTTCTGCAGCCTCCTCTCTTGTTACCCCTCCCATAGCCACTCCGGCATCTAATCCTTTTGCTGTCCTTGGCTCTGACGTCCCGACTACATCTCAGTCTGTTCTCACATCTTCGCGTCCTTCCTCACAAGCCCCAGTATCGACAAGACCTCGCACTACACCTAATACCAATCGCCCCTCTACTTCTCAGAAGTCCAAAAAATCCACATTGCTCAAATCTTCTTTGCCCCTTCCTTCCCTTCTTCCACCTCCATACTTTACCTTTCCAGTCTCTGTACCTAGTTTTTCCCCTCTCTCTGGCTCTATTACAAGTGTGAAGATTCACCCTCCTCCTCGTACTATGCCTTCCACTCCCGTCCCTTCCCAAGTTTCTCCCTCTTCTGCCACCTCCCAGGTTTCTGCCTCTTCTGTCCCCCCCCACACTTCATCTCCAGTCCCTTACACTCTTCCCTCCCCCTCTAGTTTGGTACAGTCCATTACTGTCCCAATCTTTACTCACCCTCCTCCTTCTATCTCTAATATGGTCTCCCATACATCTTTGAATTCAGAAACACTTGAAGCCATTTCAGAATATATTGCAGAGACTAAACCTTCAATGGACACTGATTCACTTCCTGTTCCTTCTCTTCCCTCTCCTCCATCTTCACAACCCCATTCTTCGCAACGCTCCGTTCCTTCGCTGCTTGAACGTCTTCCAATGTCACCACACGTTGACTTTTCTAACCCCTCTAGTCCGTAGGAGCCTTTACCTAAAGATTCCTGGTATTTTCTTCATCGCCAATCATGGCCTATTTACAGTGGAATATCCGCGGCCTCAGGGGTAATCGGGGTGAGCTTCAGATGTTGCTTTCCAGGTTTTCCCCTGTTGGTGCTTGCTTACAAGAACCAAAATTACACTCGGCTGTTTTCCAACCTATCTCAGGCTATAATTTATTGTATTCTTCGGATCCTTTCTCAGATGGGACCTTCAATGAAAGTGCCCTTCTTCTACGCAATGATATTCCGTACTGTCAACTATTTGTCCATACCTCGCTGCATTACACTGCAGCCCGTATCCACTTGAATAAGTTGTTTACAATATGTTCTTTATATCTCTCTCCTTCTCGAGCATTTTCTATCCCAGACTTTGCCTTTCTTGTTTCATCCTTACCACCACCACTTCTGTTACTTGGTGATTTTAATGCCCATCATTTCCTCTGGGGGGGGGTCTCATTGTGACTCACGTGGCATCCAGTTGGAGGCTTTTCTCGCCTCTCACCCCC